ACCCAGTTAGCAGGGCCATCACTGCTGCCTCCTGGGGTCTGCTTTGCCAGGAAGCTGAAGTCAGGCACTAGAGCCAGGGGTTGAATTCAGGTACTCTGACATGGGACATGGGCATCCCGGCCATTACACCAAACCCCTGCTCTAAATTCCCCCTGTTCAGCTAGTTATTGCATCTCCCCAGTTGCACCTGAAGATCGCTAAGGACAGGGTCTAGAACTGTGACATCTCCATGTTTAATCCTGCATCGTGAGGCTGGAATTTGGCAAAATCAATTGAGCCACCACCTGAGAAGCTGGCATCCTATATGAGTCCCAGACATTCTACCTCCAACCCAGCTCCCTGCCAATGCACCTGGGAAGGCAGCAGAGGACTGAGCAAGTCCTTGGGCCCCTGCACCCACGTGGGAGGCCCTGATGGAGCTCCGAGTCCCTGGATTCACCCTGGATCAGTCCCAGCCATTGCAGTCATCTGGGCACTGAACTAGTAGTTGGAATGTTTCTCTCTTTCTCCCTCTGCCTTTCAAATAAATAAATAAATATTTTAAATAACTATAATAGTGCATCATCCAAAGCAGTAGTTTCCAATAAAACTTCTGCTCATATCCAGAACCCTACACATTCACGTACCACCTAACAACCTTCAGGTCAACCACGAACCACGTATGTGACCATGCTCCTGCAAGTCCATGCTGCCTAGTGACATCATAGCCACCTCGGTTTGTGCAGGTACACTCCATGACATTCGTACAAGGGAATCAACTGATGACACACTTCTCAGAACATATCCCAATTGCTAGGTGATACATGGCCGCAGACATCTCCTTTAGAAAATGAGCAGATCAGGACGTTCATTAAGTAGGAAGGTCTCCCCCACGGCCCCCATCTTGGACGCAGGGCATGCTTGCCGGATACCAGGAACCGATCAAAGGAAGGAAGGAAGGAAGGATCGATACATTGAGGACAGGGGCAGCCTCCTAGAAGTTCATGCCTCAGATAGCCCTGGTGAGGCACTGAAGGGAAGATAATCCTCCTCCCCTAATACCATTTACTTTGGGCAGCTGCTCATGTAGCTGCCATGCTGTCCCTGGCCCAAGCCCTTTCGAAAGGGAAGAGTCTGGTCTGTTTCCAAATATTTACTAGAAGTCATGAAGAGCCAGGTGCTGGGCAAGACAGGAAAGCCCTGCATCATTAAAACAGCTCAATACCTAATGCCTTGAATAAAACCCTCAGTGTTTAGTTACCTCCCTCCTCCTCCACCTTCCTCAACCCGCCTCCCTGGACTTGTCTGCTCTCAGGGTCTCAACCCTCACTTCAGTCCCTTACGCCAGCCCAGCCAGGCCCTGAGACTCCCAACGTGTGGAGGATTACAATCGTGGGAGCAAGAATGAAGTTCACTGCAAGAATTCTTAACTCTGGTTCTGCTCATTCAGTAGCCACAGATCATGCCTCTGTGTGCTAAACACTGCATGGGAGTAGGAGACGTGCAAACGGGAAGACACAGAACAGCCCTGGAAGCCAGTGGCTACACGTCTGGGTGCCCAGTGTTTCAAACAGTTCACAACTGCTGTATCCAGTCCTGGGCATGGCTCCTGATCTGTATGAGATGGACGCTCAGTAGTGCTGACTGGCGATGACTATGTTAATGACAAACACTTAGGGAGTGCTTACCATGTGCCAGGTGCTAATGTGAGAGTTCTGTGTGTGTTAACTATCTGCATACAGCAGCCCTGTGAATGGACATTCCTATCACCCCATTCACTGAGGAGGAAACTGAAGTGCAGGAAGGTAAGGAACGTGCCCAGTCAGTTAGAAGAGTTAAGACTCAAGCTCAGATAGTCTGGCCCCAGAGTCTGTGCCTGGCCCCTGGGTTTATAATATGCTGACCATTCCTGCTGATCTCAGTGTTGACTTGGATGGTCCACCCAGCACCGCAATATCTCAGTTCCTTCCCCTTCTTGCCTCTAGCAATCATTTCCATCATTCTATCTCAGCTACCCTTCCCCGAGCCACCCTGCATGTTTTCACAGCCGGTGAAGTCGTGACACCTTTGAAATCCCAGTGTTGAGCCTCCTGCCCTATGACTTCATCCAGTGCTCCCAGCTCACCAGCACTAGGACCCTGATTACAAAAGTGGAGATTCCATTCAGCTTGCTCTACCATTGCTTTTGTGTTAATCACCCCTCCGGCTTCCATTTTCTTCATCACCCTTGGTAGACTCCATGGTCTATTACTACACTCTTCCCCTTACTCATCTGTCCTGAACAACCTTGCCTTTCTTCACTTATCACCTCATCCAGCAAAACTCGACCACAACAATACACCCTCTCCATTTCTGCACCAGAGATGCTGAAGGGTGCTAAGAAAACAGACCTCCAGGATGACTGGTGTATCTCTGAATTCACGGCCACAAACTTCAACAGCAACAACACAACACATTCCACACTCCCTAGGAATCCTATGCTTCACCAGTAAAATTTCCCCCACAGTCCATGAGGAGGGTTGCAATACTGTCTTGCGCTTTTCAGCACAGTGCAAGCCCTCACCTGCACCTCCCATGACCTGTCTGCCCTTGGCCTTCAGAGAGAAAACCCAAGTAATCGGCCAGGACCTGCGCCACTGGTCTGCTGGCCTTTCCGCAGACCTGCTACACTCGACCCTGTGCTCCTGCAGCTCTGGGACTCCTCTCAGGGGCAAATCACTTCCTTCTGAACTTCTAACCCCTCTGCTTCTTCAGGTGGTCCCTTTCTTCTGCAGCCCTTCTCGTGACAAAGATGGTATAGTATCTCCCATCCTGAATAAAGAAACAAGCTACTCATAACTCACACGCTCCTCTGGTTATCATTCATTTTTTTCTGCTTTCCTCTGCAGGAAAAACCCTTACTTCCTCATCTCCATATCACTCTTCAACTCACCCTGTTGGAGTGTTCATCCCCAGTGTTGCCAATGTTGTCCAGGTTGCCAGATGACCTCCGTGTGGTCCAGTTCTGCACATTCCTGCCTTCACCTTATTCAGACCAGCACAGTCAAGTGCACCCCCCCCCTTTGGAAAGTACTCATTGCCTGGTTCTTTGATCCCACACTTTCTGGTCACTCCCCATCCACAGCTACTCCTTAGTCTGCTTGGGCGGCTTCTCCTCTACCCAACCTCTGAATGCTGTAGGCCCTCAGGAAGGTTCTGGCCCTCTCTCCTCCCTCTCCAGCGATTCTATCTCCCTAGGGAATTTTCACCCTGTGCGTGGCTTTATTGCCCATCTACATTTCAATGACTCCAATATTCATAGTTCCATCCTTACCTCTTTCCAAAATTCCAGATTCATCCATTAAACTGCTTTCAAGGACCCAGAAATAGGACCCAGCATTGTGGCATAGCGGGTTAAGCCACTGCCTGCAATGCCAGTATCCCATGTGGATGCTGGTTTTAATCCTGGCTGCTCCACTCCACTTCCAATCCAGCTCCCTGCTAATGTGCCTGGGAAAGCAGCGGAAAATGGCCCAAATGCTTGGGTCCCTGCCACCCACACTGGAGACCCAGATGGAGCTTCTGGCTTCTGGCTTCAGCCTGAGCAAGTTCTGACTGTTGTAGCCATTTAGGGAGTGCCTGGGTGGATGGAAGATATTCTCTCTCTCTTTCTCTCTCTCTCTCCCTCCCTCTCACACACTCCCTCCCCCATGCCCTGCTAACTCTGCCTTTCAAATAGATAAAAATCAATCATTTTTAAAAGCACCTGGAAATAGAGCTCTTTAATCAACACACACACACACACACACACACACACACTTCTTCCCTAAGCCTCCTCATCTCAGATGGCGCCATTATCTTCCCAAATTCTCAAGCCAAGGCCCTCCCTGGTGGCGTCCCATGTGCTCGCTGTCCCTGTTCAGCTCACCAGCGATGCCATCTCCCAGCACCGCCATGATCTCAGCAGCATTTCTCCAGTCCACACCAGCTCCTGGCCACTGTGGAGCCTCCCCTCTTCACCTCGCCACCCCATGCTCCATACAGCACAGTGTTTCTGCAACGCACAAATGAGACGTTTTCCTAGGGCTTCTGCACACCTCTCCCACTGCCTCTGCAGTGAGGTGCCAACTTCCTGCCATGTCCCCATGGTCCTGCAACATCTGCCCCCCCTCAGTCTCTCTCAAGTCTTCACACAGTGCCTCCTGCTTGCTGTGTTTTATCAGACTCATCTGCCTCCTGCCCTTCCAACTTCCCCCACCTCTGTTCCCCGCCTCTCCATCTCAGGGCCTTTGTCCGTATTCTGTTGCTCCGAAATTCTCTTCTCCCAGCTCTTTACATGCCTGTCTCATCTCCCGCTTTAGCCCAAATGTCTCCTCTTTAGAGATGCCCTTCCTGGCCCTCCTCCTGTCAAGTCTGGCAGCTCCCAGTTCTGAGAGCAAGCACAGGCTGGCTGAGTGCTCTCCGGACAGGGAGATGTGTGCACTGCCCAGATTCACTCTGCTGATCTCCGAGGTCCACGAGGGGGCATTGTTCCTGGCCTCATCACACCCATCTTAAAAGCAAGGAGACTGGCCCAAAGAAGGAAGATCTGTTCAAGGTCAAATAAGCACAGGGCATCACAGGATTTAACCTTGTGCATCCCGGCTCCAGCCTGGCCTCATAACTGTCACACCACATCCTGTCTCACATTACCTGTGTGTCTCCTTCTAGCACCTGTTGTTGTGTAGCTATTGCCTTGTCTAGTTGTTTCCGTATTGTCAGACGCCTCATTAGAATATAAGCAAGCTGAGCACAGAGGCCTTTCTCCATCACTGGATGCCCAGGGCAGTCACATGGCAGGTGCACACCCAACACTTAGTATGTGAAAGAACAAAGAACAATGGATAGGTTGGGACCAGGAAATGGAAGCGTTGAGATGATGGCTCCTCTTATTTTAGCAGCAACAACTGTTACAATATCTGTGTGACCACAGGTGCTATGAGCAAAGCATGTTTTATTTAAATGATCGAATAACGTGATCTATGTTTCATGTATTTTTCCAGAACAGATTTACTTTGCTGGTCCTGTCAACAACCCTGCATTTGATATTCTCCAGGTAAGGTTTTAGTTTTCTGTTCTGTTTTGCCATTTAACTGCTGTATGGAACAGTTTGCTTCTTGAAGAGAGAGGAGAGAAGGAGGAGGAGGGGAAGGAGGAGGAGACCAGAAGGGGAAGAGGAGGAGAAGGAGAGAACTGACTTTTAAAACCGGGGGCTGACAGCTGGCATAGTGGTTAAGATGCTGCTTGGGACACCCATATCCCATATCAGCATGTTTGGGTTCAAGCCCAAGCTCCACTCTTGATTCCAGCTTCCTACTCACGTACACCCTGGGGGGCAGCAGGTGATGGCTAAAGTCGTTGTGTCCTCACTGCCCATGTGGATGACCTGGACTAAGGCTCACAGCTTTGATCATAAATCCTTTGATCATAAATCCTTTTCCATAGGCCATGGAAAGCAAAAAAAAAAACCTCTTTCTCAGTAAAGCAATGACCTTGAAGTGGGTGCTTAAAAATGCTTGGCCCAATGGCTTGGTCATTTTGACACGTAGGGGCTCCCACAAGAAGGACACTTGTGTCTGCGGGCTGCACGTGGCTCCAGCTGCTCGGAGCACTGGAGGCAGCTACATGCACGCTGTGGTCCTGCTCTGGTGGTGCTGGCCTTCGGAGACAGGATGCTCCACAAATCCACAAAGGCTTCGAGTGCCCCTGGCTACCCTCCTCTCACTATTACCCACACGTGACCCCCACGTACACCAAACACTCACGTCCTCAACACCCACTGACCAGGCTCACACTAAGGAGAGAATTTCCCAGAAATTCCTTTTCCCTCAAAATAATACTACTCTTAAAAAAAGAATCTCTGGCTTGGTTTCATTTCTAGGTTTGTTTTATCCCAGACTCTGGATTGGGGGTTTTTGTAAATTATTTTATTTTGTTTTTTGAAAGAGAGAGACACAGACACAGACAGAAAGCGCTCTTTCATCTGCTAGTTCTCTCTCTAAATGCCTGCAGCGACAGCCAAGGCTGGGCCGGGCCAAAGCCATGGCCCAGGATTCAGTTCAGGCACTCTCAGTGTGTGGCAGGGACCCAAGTACCTGAGCCCTCACGAATGCCTCCCAGAGTGTGCACTGGCAGGAAGCTGGACTCTCCGGTAGGAGGTGGGACTTGAACCCGGGCGCTCCAGTAGGGGGTGCAGGTATCCCGAGTGGTGCCCCCGCCTCCGGGTTTCTGAGTCAGAGGTCGTCTCCACACGCCATCTTGGATTTCCCCCAGCACTGCTTTTGCACCCAGGCAGTCTCTAGCCTTCTCCTTCTAGAAACCTCCAGAATTTTCTCCTCAGGACTTTTGGTGCAGTAGGAAAGTTTTGCCAGAAAGAAAAAAATCAACCTCATTTCACTTCTAGAATGCAGGCTCTGAATTCTCCAGGATGGGTTTTCTCTTTAACTCTTTGCAATCTGAACTCTTTTTCTTTCACCATTTTCCATCTGACACCTGCCCCCACCAAGGATGCTTCAATTTCCTAACAACCAATTTCCATTTTGCATTTTGTGTTTTTTCTTTTTTTTAAAATATTTTATTTATTTATCTGAAAGTCAGAGTTATACAGAGAGAGGAGAGGCCTTCCATCCAATGGTTCACTCCCCAGTTGGCCGCAATGGCCAGAGCTGCACCGATCAGAAGCCAGGAGCCAGGAGCTGCTTCCGGGTCACCCACGCGGGCGCAGGGGCCCAAGCACTTGGCCATCTTCTACTGCTTTCCCAGGCCACAGCAGAGAGCTGGATCAGAAGAGGAGCAGCCGGGACTAGAACCGGTGCCCGTATGGGGTGCCAGCACTTCAGGCCAGGGCGTTAACCTACTGTGCCACAGCCCCAGCCCCTTGTGTTTTTTCTTTAACCAATTAGCCTTAGCAATTGCTAAGGAATGAGGAGAAAGGAGTTAGCCAAAGAAACTTTTGGAAGAAAATTTACCAAAATTGTCAGCAGCTTTATAGAGGATCCTCAGCTTACGATGGTCTCATCCAGACAGAGCAATCACAAGTCGAAAATGTCCTGAGTGGAGAGGGCATTGGCTGCACCTGACCGCCCAGCTTCCTGGCCAGCAACGCAAGCACTGCAGAGCAGCCGGGGTTCCCGCTCCTGACAGAGCCAGGCGTGGTGCCTGAATCCTGGGGGCAGCAACGGTGCCCGAGGAGATACTGCCCACCAGGAGGGCAAACACGTGGTCAGGGCCTGGGGAAAAGGCTCCTGGCTCTGCTGAAGCTGGGCAGACCCTACTGGGAGCACAACCGGCCTGGGACACACCCAGCACGCACACATCCACCACACCCCCAGGCAGCAGGGGCACCGTAAGCTTCAGTCCCAAGTAGGCTCCCCGCACTGGCCACAGTGTGCCCAGGCTTCTGTGGCTGACAGCCCATTGTGACATCAGAGCCCTCCCTTGCCTACTAGGGGACAGACACAATCTATAGCCCTTTGGTTCTGAAAGACCTCCCCAGAAGCCCTCCCCAGCCACATCCCCCAGGGTGGGCTCTGCGCTAACAACGGTGGTCCCTGCTTGTCCAAGACATTCTCACCCAGCTCTGCATCTGGTGTCTTGGTATCATTTTCCTTTTAACACATCCAATCTCTTAGCCTAGGCTGAAGCCTTGCCTGGACTCCCCGGTCTGCCTGCTCCTGCTGTTTTCTGAATTAGAACTTACAGACCCTCTGAACTCCCAAAACACATGGGCACCGATGTATAGGTACTGCCTGAACCAGGAACCACTATGGATGCAACCTCACACTCCTAACTCGGGAATTCAACGTCCTCCTAACAGCAGAAAGACTGGGCTCTCAGCCTGTCACCCAGACTCTGACCTCCTGGCCTTCCGGCACCTACTCCCACACCGGCCCGGGTGCCCAGAGACCCCAACTCCCTAAGCCGCAGTTTGTATTTCTTGCAATTCCTAATCTAAGGCCCATCCTTTCCAATACTGCACCTTCTGTCAGGCCCATCAAGCAATTATGAAAAATTCATTTGGTTTTTAATAATCGTGTAGGGTAAGCACTAAAATACAAATAGAGTTTCAAAAAAGTAGATGATGATGATGATGGAGAAGAAGAAGAAGAAGAAGCAGGAGGAGAAACACAGTCACATATAAATCTGAGCTGGCCTTTCTCTAACTCTTAGACTGCTTTGCTAAATTCCCAACACTGCTCTTTAAATTACAGCTGCTTGATATCTGGACAAGAAGACTCCTAGGAGGCTGTAGACACGAGACTCTCAAGCTGAATGACACCTCAGGATTGCTCCCATCAGTCCTGCCACCCCAGGCGCCCCCCAGCGCCGAGCCTGGCTCTCTCCGGGGTGATGCTGAGTGCAGGAGAGTCTGCTGCCTGCTGAACCCCTGCTAGCTGCTAGAAAGCTGCTCTCATCTAGCAGCAGCCCTCCCTCGTGCAGGCAGCTTCTATCCGTGGTCTCATACATCCCTTCCCTCTGGCTTTCTGCACATCGAACCTCTCTCCTCTCACAGATGTGCCTGGAGTTTCCAGTGCTTCTTCCCACTCAGTCCCCGTGCCCCACTGGCCACTACCTCTGCCCACCCCGCAGCCCTCTCTTCCCCAGGCTGCTGAGCCTACAGAGGGTGCCACACCTGCCTGCGGGGTGCTGGGGCCTGGGCTACCGCAGCGCGGCTCAAGCCCTGGTCCATGCCACGACGCCTCACCGGGCACGGCTCTCAGGCTGTGTCTTCTAAACAAAGGAAGGCAGCCCTCCCCGGAGCGTCCCCGGCACAAGGCAGCATGTCTTTCCCGCCAGAGCACTGCGCTTCTGCGCTGCTCCGCTTGCTCCCTGACGGGGTCTGCTCTGCCTCGGCCAAGGACACTCCACCCTGCCGGCTGCTCAGGCTGGACACCTCGGAGGCATCTTTAACCCCTCTCTCTCCCCTTGGGTTTCCGCAGCAAATCTCATCAGCTCTTCTTTCAAAATCTACTCAGACTCCAAAGCCTTCTCCCCATTGCCACCAACTGCACCACGTCAGCCTCACCTCTCACCGGATGCTGCAACTGCCTCCTACCTGGTCTCCCTGCTCTACCCACCCCCACAGCCTCTTTCCAGTGGGCGCAGAATCAGACTTCAGCACGCACATCAGGCCAGGCCACTCCTCTGTGGCTCAAGTCCCTTTCAAAGCGGACGCCAAAGTCCCTACCATGGCTTGCGGGGCTATAAGGGTCTGGCCTCCCTCTCTCCTGACAGCTCCACTGGTCTCCTCACTGCTCCCCAAACATGGGGGCTCCCTCCCTACAGCTGCCTGGCCCCTCCCCCAATCTCTTTAGGGTCTCTACCTCTGGGCTACCTTCTCAGCAAGACCCTCTACTTAAACTTGCAAACCAGCACTAGCCTCATCCCGCCCAATGCTCCCAGCCACCCCCTTCCTGTGTGCATTTCCTCTCAGTGGGCCTCTGATGACCTTCCACGGCCACTTGTTGTGCGGACCATCTGTGCATCTCAGTGAGACTGGAAGCTCCACCTCCAGGCAGGGCGTCAGGGTGCCTCCTTCCTCTTTATCCCCACTGTTGGAACCATGCCACGCACACTTACATACGTGGATGCTCAAGTCCCTTAAAGGAAACGGGATAGGATTTGCGTAGAATCCGCGTACATCCTCTCATATCCTTAAATCATCTCTAAATCACCTATAACACCTCAAACAGTGGACTGTTGTGTGCGTAGTTACTGTACTGTGTTGTCTGGTGAGTAGCGACAAGCAAAAGTCTTTACGTGTTTAGTACAGATGCAATTTTTTAAAAAGCATTTTCTACCTGCAGTTGGTTGAGCCCAGGGAGGCTAAACCCATAGGTCTGGAGGGCCAGCCACTTCACAAATGGTGGACTGTGCTGAGGGTCCCATGCCTAACATGTCTTTTTATGTCTCTTGCAGGGTGAATATGAGATTTTGCTAGAACTGTACAATGAAAACCATTCCACCGTGGCCTGTGCCAATGCTACCGTCCTCTGCTCCTGACTGTGGCCGGCAGCAAAAACACAGCTCAGTCTCCTTGGAACTCCAGCTTCCCCAGACTGAGCCTGCCATGGAAGAAGAACCAAAGGACAACGGAGAAAGGCTCTATAAAGAAATCCTCCAAAGAGTGCAGCTGCTAACCTCAGCCCCAGGCTCAGCTGTCTCAACTTCCAGACTTCCCAGATGCAAGGAAGCCCCCTAAGTCACCTGTTTCCCAGGAGCCCTTGGCAGCCACCAAGAAGTCTCCAGGGTCATCCTTCCCCTCTAATTAGTCAGCGGCACAAGACTCGCCTGCATTTCAACTCCTCGGGTGCACCTGCTCACGGTGACAGGGAATAAAGAAACTGGCCTGTGACGGATCCTCTTGGTGTGCAGAAAGAATCTTAGCAGAAAGCTCTAGTTAGACAGTCATTTCCTCCAGGAGCACATGCAGGGGCTGGTGCAGCACCAGAATGGAATCGGGGGGTAAGGGTGTGGCTAACATGAGAGCACTAGGAAAACCTGCCATGGCTGCTTCTGGACACGGCCCCACGCCCCTGGACCATGGGGTCTGAGAAACTGGTGAGAGCTCACCAGCAATCGCATCAGTATCCCCCTTGTCCCAGTGCTCGCTTCCCCTTCATCACCCAAAGTGTGATGAGACCTGAGCCCAGCTCGAGATGGCGCTCGTCACAGTGCTCAGTCTGTCACTCAAGCAACAACTGCTGAACACAACACAGCAGACACTGTGCCCTAGGGGCCACACCAGGGAGTCAGACACAGGCCCTGCCTTCAGGGAGCTTGTAGTCCCCGCAATATTAAGAAGCCACAATGCCCTGCAGTGGACACAGCACTTCACAGTCAGGTGAAACGCCTCCTCCAATGGCAGGGCCATTTGGGCAACCCAGTATATCCTCTCTCTGAATGTGCCGGTGGCGTGGCGGGCCCTGCAGCCCCTGACTGTCCCCTGCGCCCTTTTCCAACTCTTCTTCCTGTGTCCCCAGGCCCTGTCTAGGCCTCGTGCTCCTGCTAAGGGACTGCGGGGGGGGGGGGGGTAGGCTGACTTTATCAGTTGCAGATCTTTTACATACATACATATGTGTATGTGTCTATATATATGTGTATATATGGAACAGGTTTCCTGTATTTTATATATACAATTTTAAGAGCATAATGATATTTCCCACCCTGCCACCCTCCCTCCTGCTTGCTTTCTTATTTTTCTTTAAATTTTTGCCATGACATACTTCCAATATATTTTATAATCATAAACTTCACCCCCCACTAAATGAAGAATTCAACCAGTAGTAAGCTGAAAAAAATATCTCATATGCCATATCCTGCCCAGGAAGCAGGATATGGTAAGCCTGCAGCCCCAAGCCATTCCTCAGGAGTATAGACCAGGGCTATAAATAATAATCCACTCTCAAAATATCCATTTTGCTAATCTACATTACATTTTTTTAATTTTTTATTTATTTATTTTTTTGACAGGCAGAGTTAGACGGTGAGAGAGAGACAGAAGGGTCTTCCTTTTTCCATTGGTTCACCCCCCAAGTGGCTGCTATGGCCGGTATGTTGCGGCCGGCGCGCTGCGCCGATCCGAAGCCAGGAGCCAGGTGCTTCTCCTGGTCTCCCATGTGGGTGCAGGGCCCAAGCACTTGGGACATCCTCCACTGCCTTCCCCAGCCACATTACATTTTTTAAGAGTTGACCTCGAAAACCAGCCGCTGAGGTTTCCTGGGTTATAGAGAAACAAACTCAGCGCAGTGTCTGTGCTTAAGCCCAGAAGTCTGGGAGAAAGGGCGTGCACAGCGGTGCCAGACTAGGGAGCAGCACGTGAACACACGCAGGCAGGATGGTTCTGTCTTGCAAGGGAAGAGCAGTTGCTAATCCTGTGCCGCTCCCTCTGGCTCGGTCATCCGCCCTTGTCTGTAAGGACCCAGCAGAGGTCCTGGGCGGATTCTGTGGCTGAAAACTCAAGCACACAGCAGTTTCACAAAGGATGTCAACTCAGAGAAAAAGAGTGCTTCTCTGGCCCCCTAAATAGGCCTTTTTTGCATCCCCTGTCTCGAGCCTCAACTGTCACGCTCAGCTTTATTCTCCCAAGTTGAGACAGATTTTCATGGTTCAGGAATCACCTACTAAAACACAAGCAGCCGTGGGAGAAGCAGCACCAGAATCACTGTCATTAGTTAACACGCTGGCAGAACATGCCAACTACTCAGGTATGAGATCAGTGGCCCAGGAAGCAGGGTATGGTAAGCTTGCAGCCCCAAGCCAAGGTCTCTTAGGCCAGACATTTGGGTGGTGTCTGGGGTAGAGTAAGGGCCCCTGACAATCGAGCAGCAAACCTAAAATCCAATCTTAGAGATATTTCCGTTTCTCTCTGTCTCTCCTCTCCCCATTGCTGTGCCTTTCAAATAATTAAATAAATCTTAGAAAGGATGCAGCTTTGTGGCACAGCAGGTTAACTCACCTCTTGCAAAGCCAGTATCCCAAATCAGGGTGTCAGTTCGATTCCCAGCTGCTCCGCTTCTGACCCAGCTCCCTGCTGACAAGCCTGGGAAGGCACTGGAGGACGGGGCATAGTATTTAGGTCTCTGCCACCATGAGAGACCCAGATGGAGTTCCTAGCTCCTGGCTTCAGCCTGACCCATCCCTGGATGTTGTGTGCATTTGGGGTGTGAACCAGCAGATGAAAGACTCTCTCTCTCTCACTCTCTCTCTCTCCTCTTCCCTCTCCCTTGTCACTCTGCCTTTCAAATAAATAAATAAGTAAATGAGATATTGCTACTGCTCCAAAAATCACTATTAAGTGGCAGGAGTTTGGTGTGGTGATTGATACCACTTAGGACGCCTATACCCCGTATCAGAGTGTCTGAGCTCTAGTCCCAGCCCCTCCTCCAACCCCACCTTCCTGCTACTGCCAATCCTGGGAGCTAACAGGTGATGGTGCCAGTACTTGGGCCGCTACCACTCACATGGGAGACGTGGATGGAGGTCTAGGCTTCTAGCATCAGCCTGGCCCAGCTCTGGCTGCTGCAGGCACTTGGAAGAGAACTAGCAGATAGGAGATCTGTGTGTGTGTGTGTGTGTTGTGATCAGGATGATGTCACGCCGTGCCCCACCCCCACACAGAACCAACGTCCCTGCGGAAATCTCCCTGCTCCAGTCACTGTGGTTCCTCCACGTCCTGCCATGGACTTCGAGGGAAACATCAGCTCCTCTAAGAAAGCAGTTTATAAAATATTTTTGAGGGAAATTCCAGCGCCCACGGGAAGCAATGCAGGCTACGACGCAGGCAGGAGGTTACACAGTGCTTTGCAATAGTGCGGTCACATCACAGGGCGCCTGGCGTGGGCACAGCCTCAATCTGGCTTCAGCGGATGGGGACGGGGCCGGTGGCTCAGGTGTACAGGGTTCACTCACCAGCCCTACAGCATCACTTCTGGGCAGCTCTGCCACAGACGCCCTGAATACCAGCTGCACCCCCAGGCAGTCTTTCCTGTGACAGCAAACCATTCTAGCCTCTGAGGTGCAGAGGACAGGACCCACCCTTAGCCCAGGGTCCTGCCATTCACTCTCACTGGGTCACAGGACCACTTCCGACCAATCACTTTGGCCCTGCCCTGATTGGTTCAGTTTCATTACCTGGGCACCCCTGCAGCTGGATCAGAGTCAGTCCCCCTGGAACCACGGGCATGCCACAGTGAAAACTTCAAGAACTGGGAAGGAGTAAATGGAGAAGGGAAAGACCGTAGGAGCCAAAAGTATGTTCTAGAAATCAGGCCAATTCCGTGTGTGTGTGCATTTAAATATTTACTTATTTATTTGAAAGGCAGAGTGATAGAGAGAGAGAATCTTCCCTCTACTGGCTCAATCCCCAGAGGCTCCAACAGCTTGGGCTTAGGCCAGGCTGAAGCCAAGAGCCAGGAATTCCACCTGGGTTCCCCACCTGAGCAGCAGGAATGCAAATGTTTGGGCCATCTTCCACAGCTTTCCCAGGGGAATTAGCAGAAAGCTGAGCAGCCAGGACTTGAACTAGCGCCCCAAAATGGGATGCCGGTGATACAGGTAATGGCCTCACCTACTACACCACAACACAGGCAGCTTTCAAGTTCTAATTCTCCCCCAGATGCTCATTGTGCCAACCATAATACCTTCCTCAAAAAGCGACTGTGAATTATATCAGGGAAAACAGATCATGTGATTATAACTATGCATTTCACTCAGTAAAAGTGAGCTATTATTTTTAATAGATTTATTTTTATTTATTTGAAAGGCGGAGTTAGAAAGAGGGAGGGAGACAGAGAGAGGTCTTCCATTTGCTAGTTCACTCCCAAAATGGCTGCAATGGCTGGGGCTGGGCCAGGCCAAAGCCAGAGGTTTGGAACTCCATCTAGCTCTCCCACACGTGTGGCAGGGACCCAAATACTTGAGCCGTTATCTACTGCTTTCCCAAGCACGTTAGCAGGGAGCCGGACTGGAAGTGGAGCAGCCATAACTCCAACTGGGGCTCCTATGGGATGCTGGCATTGCAGGTGGTGGCTTCACCCACTGCACAACTCCAGCCACACCCAGAAGTGAGTTATTACTATGTCAGGGTGAGTGTTTGCATGAGCAGCTCAAGCCCGGTTTCCTAGCTGACCTCTCTGACTGCAGAAGCCTAGCCCTGCTCCCTGAGCTCACGTTTCCCTCTGGGTCCAGAAACACTTCCTCAGCACCTTGACCTCTTCCAAGCATTGCTAATTTTATCCAGCCTTGGTCAGAGGAATGAATCATGACCTGTGTGAAGTATTTAAGGAGACATTGCCCACCCCAAGGCTGAAATACAAGTTCACCCCCAACAGAAACGCAGTCACCAGGCATAAGGGGCCAGTGGAAGAAAATGTGTGTATTTGTTAATTAAACTTGTTTCCTGCAAATAAAAAGGCACATCCAAGAAGTGAAGAACAAAATGTAACATCGGCAAATTTAACAATTACACCTGCCTTCAGGAAAAATAACCCAAAATAGCTGGTGAGACAACAGAGAGGGGCACATCCTGATCCCGACCTGGACTTGTCAGGGAGAGCTTAGCAGCTCAGCAGCTCAAGTTCAAATCCGTATCTTCTGTTCTTTTCTCAGCCAACAAAATAAGTTGCTGCCTGACTGCCCAGTCACTGTATCAGATAAGCAAGGGTCTTAAAGGAGTTGGAGAAATGCTATTTTATATTGCGTTTGTCAACACTTCCGAGTGCTTAGTTCAAAACAGAAGCCTTCTGCTGCTTCAAAGGCCTGAGCCTGGAACTGGTGTCTCCCCCTCTAGCCCAGTGTGTCGTCAGGTTTACATTGCTCCAGTGAAACCCCTGAGACACATTCCTTAGGAAGCAAAGAGGTTCACTTTGGCCCGTGGTTCTGAAGGCTCGCTGTCCGGGGGAAAATGCTTCCCTTAAATATTTTTTTTGAAGATTCATTGTATTTATCTGAAAGGCAAAGTGGCAGGTGGAGATCTCCCATCTGCTGGTTTGGCCCAGGCTGGCTCCTTCTGAAGCCAGGAACTCCCTCTGGGTCTCCCACGTGGGTGGCAGGGGCCCAAGCACATGGGCCTTCTTCCACCGCTTTCCTGAGCGCGTTAGTAGGGATCTGGATGGGAAACAGAGCAGCCAGGACTTGAACAAGGGTTTGTACGGGATGCTGGTGTCGCAGGCAGCTTCTTCATCAACTGAGCTCACTTAGAAGAAATCAAAGCACCAAGGAGTTGTTTCAGGATCTAGGAGGGAATGTGGGCTCCGAGATCTGGCAGCCCCGTGCCTTTGCCCCTGCCAAGGGCAGCCGATTTCAATGGAGGGTGCTGGGCAAAGGAGGGACCAAGGCTGAGACAGGAAGCAGCGCGTGAGGCTGGGCCTCAGTCTCGCTCTAAAACCAGCCCTCTGCTGAGAGCCACCTGCCAAGGACATGCCAGGAGCTCAGGGCCTCGGCGCTGTGACGGAATTAGACCTCCACCCTCGCGGCAGCATCAGCTCGTGACCGTGGGGCTTCCACATCTGCAAGAGTTCAGGACCAAACCACAGCGCTCAGCTTCTAGTGAATGTGTGTGACAAAACCGGATTCTTGCTTCCAACATCTCGACCTCCTCACTCCCGAGGAAGGAAATCTGTGCATCAAGGTTCCTGTAGCCGAAAGCGGTTTCTTCCTCCAGCTGGAATTTTCCTGGATTTGCCCAGAACCCACCCAAGAATAGGAAAATGGAGACCTTCCAGGCCCCTGACATCCCTACCCTGTGTGTGTGAGGCTTCCCCTCCTTTTCTTCTTGAATGAAAAAAAATGTAAGAAGGAGAAAAAAGAAAAGAAAAAGCTAACACTGATTTGAGCATTTTCTCTGTGTCAGGCATCATGCTAGATACTTCACCTGCATCTCAGTACTTCAGGACAGCCCCTAGGAGTCTGATACTACCTCCCACCTTATTAACAATGCACCTGAGATTCAGAGACGGCCGGTGAGCGGCCCAGGGCCCCTTGCCTCCTGAGGGTAGGACTCAACTCTGCCTGACTCCAAAGCCACCCTCTGTCTGACGCTGCCTTGGATGTTGGCTTAGAATATATAATAAAGGAGCATTTTATGGCTTGAGTTGTGGGCTTGCAGAATGTGTCAACTCAAGCGGCAGACATGCAGAAAGTAAAGGCAGGCTTAGAAAGGGCGACCTCATACCGCAGATGACAGCACAGCAAAAAAGAATGTACGTGTGTGTGTCACAGACGCTTAAAATATGTACTCCACTGTGCAGCTTCACAACTTGCAGAAACTCACTGATAAGGTATTTCCTAAAATTCACAGAAAATGGAATTAAAAGACAGCCAAGCATATGAGGGAAAAGTGCATATTATACAATACTGTACTTAAATTCAAAAATTTTTGTGCCAAAATAAATTCATATTTTATTTCTATTTTTTCATGAACCCCCTGAAGTACGCTTGTGTGATCTTCAACAAGCTCGCTGTCTTTCTCATGGTTTGAATTATAGATGAATGTCCTCAAAAGGCCCATGTACTGGGGGCTGGGTCCCCAAAGCTTTTTTTTTAAAGATTTATTTATTTATTTGAGAGGCAGAGTTACAGAGAGAGAGGTCTTCCATCCACTGGTTCACTCCCCAAATTGCCACAATGGCCAGAGCTGGGCTAGTCCAAAGCCAGGAGCCAGAAGCTTCTGCCACAACTCCCAGGCAGGGGCAGGGGCCCAAGTACTTAGGCCATGTTACACTGCTTTACCAGACCATAAACAGGGAACAGGATTGGAAGTGGAGCAGCCAGGACTAGAACCGGCGCCGATATGGGATGCCAGTGCTGCAGGCAGAGGCTTAGCCTACTATGCCACAGCACCGTCCCCAGTTCTCAAAATCTTATAATGAGTGATGGATTAAGGCTGGTGACTTGATGTGACTGTGGAATCTGGGATGTGAGCCCCCTGGGAGGTCATTAGGCCACTGGGGGCTCAGCCTTGGAAGCTCTCATCAAAGTGTTGGTTCAACCTAGCTTGTGGTCCTGCCTGCTGGCTCCCTCCGCACACACTGTATCTCAGCAGAAGCCAGACTAACGGGGCTGCCTGATGCTGGGCTGCTCCCTCCAGAACTGTGAGCCCCAGTAAGCCTTCTCCCTTCCTGAGAAGTCCGTCCACGGCACTCTAGTCAGTCACGACTAGCTGAGTCACAGTCACTCACTGCCAAACCAACAGCCTAGTGTGGCCCTTCCCTTCCCGCCTGCCTTTCTTCATAAAGCCGGCACTGCCTTCTCACCCAGCGTGGTACTGAAAACAATACAGGAAAAGTAAAATGAGCGATGGGTGCTACAATCCCTACTCAAAGCCAGCTCACATGTCAGAAGGGAAGACAGAAGGCCTCAAAACTGTCCTCCGATGGGGAGACCATGCTAGGTGACAAAGCTGTCCTCTGATGGGGGGACCGTGCCAGGTGACAAAGCTGTCCTCTGATGGGGAGACCGTGCTAGGTGACAAAGCTGTCCTCATGGGGAGACCGTGCTAGGTGACAAAGCTGTCCTCTGATGCAGAGACTGTGCTAGGTGACAAAGCTGTCCTCTGATGGGGAGACTGTGCTAGGTGACAAAGCTGTCCTCTGATGGGGAGACTGTGCTAGGTGACAAAGCTGTCCTCTGATAGAGACCATGCCAGATGACAAAGCTGTCCTCTGATGGGGAGACTGCTAGGTGACAAAGCTGTCCTCATGGGGAGACTGTGGTAGGTGACAAAGCAGTCCTCTGATGGGGAGATTGTGCTAGGTGACAAAGCTGTCCTCATGGGGAGACTGTGCTAGGTGACAAAGCTGTCCTCTGATGGGGAGACCGTGCTAGGTGACAAAGCTGTCCTCATGGGGAGACCGTGCTAGGTGACAAAGCTGTCCTCATGGGGAGACCATGCCAGGTGACAAAGCTGTCCTCATGGGGAGACCATGCCAGGTGACAAAGCTGTCCTCATGGGGAGACCATGCCAGGTGACAAAACTGTCCTCCGATGGGGAGACCATGCTAGGTGACAAAGCTGTCCTCTGATGGGGAGACTGTGCTAGGTGACAAAGCTGTCCTCTGATGGGGAGACCGTGCTAGGTGACAAAGCTGTCCTCTGATGGGGAGACCGTGCTAGGTGACAAAGCTGTCCTCATGGGGAGACTGTGCTAGGTGACAAAGCTGTCCTCTGATGGGGAGACTGTGCCAGGACACTAAGCTGTCCTCTGATGGGGAGACTGTGCTAGGTGACAAAGCTGTCCTCTGATGGGGAGACTGTGCTAGGTGACAAAGCTGTCCTCTGATGGGGAGACTGTGCTAGGTGACAAAGCTGTCCTCTGATAGAGACCATGCCAGATGACAAAGCTGTCCTCTGATGGGGAGACTGTGCTAGGTGACAAAGCTGTCCTCATGGGGAGACTGTGGTAGGTGACAAAGCTGTCCTCTGATGGGGAGATTGTGCTAGGTGACAAAGCTGTCCTCATGGGGAGACTGTGCTAGGTGACAAAGCTGTCCTCTGATGGGGAGACCGTGCTAGGTGACAAAGCTGTCCTCATGGGGAGACCGTGCTAGGTGACAAAGCTGTCCTCATGGGGAGACCATGCCAGGTGACAAAGCTGTCCTCATGGGGAGACCATGCCAGGTGACAAAGCTGTCCTCATGGGGAGACCATGCCAGGTGACAAAGCTGTCCTCATGGGGAGACTGTGCTAGGTGACAAAGCTGTCCTCATGGGGAGACTGTGCTAGGTGACAAAGCTGTCCTCTGATGGGGAGACCGTGCTAGGTGACAAAGCTGTCCTCTGATGGGGAGACCGTGCTAGGTGACAAAGCTGTCCTCTGATGGGGAGACCGTGCTAGGTGACAAAGCTGTCCTCATGGGGAGACTGTGCTAGGTGACAAAGCTGTCCTCTGATGGGGAGACTGTGCCAGGACACTAAGCTGTCCTCTGATGGGGAGACTGTGGTAGGTGACAAAGCAGTCCTCTGATGGGGAGACCGTGCTAGGTGACAAAGCTGTCCTCTGATGGGGAGACCGTGCCAGGTGACAAAGCTGTCCTCTGATGGGGAGACCGTGCTAGGTGACAAAGCTGTCCTCTGATGCGGAGACCGTGCCAGGTGACAAAGCTGTCCTCTGATGGGGAGACCGTGCTAGGTGACAAAGCTGTCCTCTGATGGGGAGACTGTGCCAGGTGACAAAACTGCCCTCTGATGGGGAGACCGTGCTAGGTGACAAAGCTGTCCTCTGATGGGGAGACTGTGCCAGGTGACAAAGCTGTCCTCTGATGGGGAGACTGTGCTAGGTGACAAAGCTGTCCTCTGATGGGGAGACTGTGCTAGGTGACAAAGCTGTCCTCTGATGGGGAGACCGTGCTAGGTGACAAAGCTGTCCTCATGGGGAGACTGTGCTAGGTGACAAAGCTGTCCTCTGATGGGGAGACTGTGCCAGGACACTAAGCTGTCCTCTGATGGGGAGACTGTGCTAGGTGACAAAACTGCCCTCTGATGGGGAGACCGTGCTAGGTGACAAAGCTGTCCTCTGATGGGGAGACCGTGCCAGGTGACAAAGCTGTCCTCTGATGGGGAGACCGTGCTAGGTGACAAAGCTGTCCTCTGATGGGGAGACTGTGCCAGGTGACAAAACTGCCCTCTGATGGGGAGACCGTGCTAGGTGACAAAGCTGTCCTCTGATGGGGAGACTGTGCCAGGTGACAAAGCTGTCCTCTGATGGGGAGACTGTGCTAGGTGACAAAGCTGTCCTCTGATGGGGAGACTGTGCTAGGTGACAAAGCTGTCCTCTGATGGGGAGACCGTGCTAGGTGACAAAGCTGTCCTCTGATGGGGAGACCATGCCAGGTGACAAAGCTGTCCTCTGATGGGGAGACTGTGCTAGGTGACAAAGCTGTCCTCTGATGGGGAGACTGTGCCAGGTGACAAAGCTGTCCTCTGATGGGGAGACCGTGCCAAGTGACAAAGCTGTCCTCATGGGGAGACTGTGCCAGGACACTAAGCTGTTCTCTGATGGGAAGACTGTGCTAGGTGACAAAAGGAAACAGAGCACTGTGGCCGTGAGGCAGGGGTGACTCGTGACCCAGCCACATGGAACAGCTGGGCCGTGAAGGCTGGAGGGGACCCTGGAGGCCTGGGTGCCCACAGCGGGAAGCGGTCCCCACTGTGGCCGCCTGGCCCCCACAGCGTCCTTCCTTCCTGAGCACTGGGACACACAGTATTTCTGCTCACATTAGGCAATGGGCTCAACTTTAGAGCAAAATACATGATGCAGAACTGCTCCCAAGCACAAGCTCCTCTGTGAGTGCGCGGTGGTGCTTCCTGACACCCAGCGAATGGGCACGCGTTTGCTGCCGCACCCTATGGCCACTCCTGCTCCCGCCCCTCCTGGACAGCTGCCCCTCACCTACAGCATCCTCCCCTCTTCTCACGTTTGACTCCTGCGATGGGGCGGGGATGGGGGGTGAGGGCTGACCCAGCAGGCCGGGTCCCTGGAGGGTTCCGAGAGGATGGGATAGAAGAAGGGAGGAGACTCCAGACCCTGGAGGCGGCATGGGAACCAGGAACAGAAGCTGTGTGGAGGGAGCAGAGATAGGAGAGCCAGGGGAGCGAGAGCCAGGAGCAGCTGTTCTGTGGGTGATGAACAAAAACGCTGCAGTGACCCTGGGACCTGCAGGAGGCTCCCCGTGGACCTAGGGCCAGGGAGGCCAGGCTAGGTGGAGGCCCTGCCCCCGGGGACTCCATGCTCTTCCCCTGTCTCAGAGCCTGATGGTCCATTCTGTAACACCTAACACTCAGGAGCCAAGAGGATGGCCTTATTCCTTCGCTTCCTCCATCTAGCTCACTCCCTTGTCCACGTCATTTTTGGGAATGAAATGCACTGAATGAGAAGTCACCCCAGAAATCTCCTTCCAGAAGGTCAAGTCCAACCTGGGCTGCCGCTGCCCATCGGTGAGGACTCCCCACCGGCAGGGTGACCAGGGCCACTTCTTCTAGGGTCATGACACAGAGCAAGGCACTCAGGGTTACAGTCTTCATGATCAAGTTGTTTCCCGATGACTGCCTCCCAAGTAATGACTTGTCTGTGCTGGGTTCCCACTGAGAGCTGGCTGTCGGCGGTGCTGGCGGTGGTCTACCTCTGTTTCTGTAACGGAGTGTCATCAGTCAGCACTGCATGTGCTGGCTTCGATACTCCACAGCCACAGAACCCCAGGACCAGGCAGAAGAAGGTAAGCGGAGAGCTCAGCTGCACCTGTGCTTGGTTGGTTGCAGAGAGCACGTCCCCACAGACACTTCAAGGCTGCAGAGAGCTCTAGAAACCAAATCCCTGGAAACCAGCACACGCTGTGGCAGACATCAAGTCTCACCTGAGCAGAGGCCACTGTGCCGTCTCTTCAGGACAGGCTGGGTGGGGGGAGCGGTGTGGCAGTGATGATGTAGGTGGGCTCCTGGGCACAGGAGTGAGTGGGAAGGGCAGCCTGGTGTTCTGCCTCTCTTCCTGCCCCAGCCCTGGGATTTGTGGCAGAGCCTTGAGGGCAGAGAAGCTGAAGCCAGGAGCTGACTTCACACGAGATACAAAGAAACACCAGGGCCCCTGCAATATTGGGGTGGGTGGGAGTGGGAGAGTAGGCAGGGGCAGGATGGCACAATGGCAAGAGGGTTAGACACTGCATGGCTTGTTCCACAACCGGGGGGGGGTGGGGGGCAGTAGAAACAGGGTGGGGGTGGGGTGGGGGTGGGAGGGCCAGACAAGCCAGGACACAGGCTCCACGCTGTCTTCTAGAAGTTTTCAGAGCCAGGACAGCAACCAAGGAGGGAGCCAGAGACACAGTGGGCAAGAACTGCTCTTGAGCTACATGAGAACCCCAGAGGGGACCTGAAGAGGCTGCGTAATGCGACACTGAGGGCCCCAAGTCAGTGTGCTCAGTGAAGCTCTGCATCTGAACCCACGGAGGAACGTCCAGATTCCCTAGGGAGCAGGGCTGCCCTCCCTCAGCACCGCATCAGAATGGGGGTCCTGGTCCGTTACCCAGCACTCCACCTCGGCTCCTGTGTTCCCTCCCCCACGGCCATCTGGAAGTCCATTTGCAAAGCCCGTGCCACCCCAGTACTCTGCTTCCCTCTGCTCCAAGACAGACAAGAAGCATTGCTCTTGTGGGAAGTCAAGTCCCCTCCTCACCACGCAAAGAGCATTAGTTGTATTTGCTGGATTTCAATGCCCACTCTCTCTTTGGCCAGGGCTCCCTGTGCAATCCACAACATGTACAACCTGACCCAGCAGTGCAGACCAAGGTTTGGAATCTTCTCCCGCCACATGGCACATGTTGAAGAAAAAATAGCAGGAATAATTCTGCCCCAACAAGACACACACTGGCCCCATGGCCTATCCATCTCCCTCCCTCCCACAACAAATCGGGCAGGATGGACAGCTAGAGATGCAGCAGCCCTAAACTCAACGCGGTTACAAAGTATTAGACGCCTGAGCACACAGCAAAAATGAAATCTGCAGAGAATATTGTCCTAACAACTCAGACAATAAATAACTTTCCTAGGCATTATTTAGAGTGTTAGGATTCCCTAGGTTCCACATAGACGAGATATGGGCTTGGTTTTAGGTGCACAAGCTAAAAGCCTTGTTCAGGTAAGCAAATGAAATGCGAGGGGGTCGTTCCGCCAGCAAGGAGGGATGGTGCGTTAGAGTTGTCATTGTGGCCAGACTCTCGATGATAACTAGGACTCGTGGGCAGCCTTCCAATGTGTACGATGGATTTTGTTTTAAGGAGACAATCCCTTATCCTGCACCCAGACCCAAAGACCCCTCTCAGGATTACCACCAGCATTGATGGCATCTCTGTGGGAATTAGGAAAGGGTGCCCTTTCTGGGTGGAACTGGAGTCAATGGCAAACGACTTGTGCAGAGCAAAGAGGTATTCCAAGATGCACCACGTGGGCAGGTGTATGTGCTGGATTTCAATGCCGACCCTCTTGGCCAGGGCTCCTTGTACAACCTTACCCAGCAGCTCAGTCCAAGCTCTGGAATCTTCTCAGGCCACATGGTACATGTTGAAGAAAGAGAGCTAAATACAGCAGTACTTCTGCCCCAAGGAGACAGCTTGTGGACTGAGGGTCTCTGATCTCACTATCCCCACCTGCTCCAGTCCCCCTCAGCTACTGCCCACCCCGTGCACACTTACGAAGGAAACATCCCAGGTAAGAGCTGTTCTACGGGCAAAGCTGCTCAGTGAAGCAAACGTTAGCTTCCCATCTACTCTCGCCTGACTCCATCGTTTCTCGTACTGACCTGGGGCACAGCCTGCTCCAGTACACCAGCAGAATCGGTCACCCTGCTCCCTACCTACAGCCTTCTTCTTTCCCAAAAGGAGCTGCTGCTCCATCCTTTGCTGAGTATCCCTCCTTCAAGAAGCTGCCCTTCCGAGTGTCCAGGTTGTGCTCAGGGACCCCACCCCCCCCACCCCCTGCCTGCGTGCCTGGACTGTGGCCTGCGCTAGAAACATCCTACTGTGACTCCTGGTTTATGGGACACAAGCCACAAGAGGGCAGGAATAGGACCTTGCTCACCTCTGACCAAATCCCCAGCACCTCGCATAAAAGGTGTGTAGAATGAATGGCCTACGGCAGAAGAGTACTGACTGCGCAGTGTACTCGTTTCCTGGGCCTCTGTAACACAGCACCACAAACTGAGCGGCTGAGGACGAGAGCTTGCATTGTCTCACAGTTCCGGATGCCAGACGGCCGAAATCAAGATGGCAGCAGCAGGACCGTGCTCCTCGGGAAGGCACCAGGAATGCCCCGTCCTTGCCTCTCTCCTGGCTTTGGGCGGCCCCAGGCAGCCTTGGCTCGTAGCTGCTTCTCCCCAGCCCTCCACCGTGCCTGGCATTCTCCCTGTGTAGCTTTGTGTCATCTTCCTTCTGCACCTGTCTCTTTCTGGCTCCAATTTCCCCTTTCAATAGGGCCAAGTCAGATTGGACCCGTGGCCACCTAATGACTTCATTTTAACTTTCTTACCTCTATAAAGACCCTGTGTCCAATACCATTGCACTCTGAGTACTGAGGCTTAGGATTTCAGTATATCTTTTGGAAAACAAGGGGCCAGAAAGCATGTGCCTACGGTCTAGCCAGATCTTTAAGTGGGGAAGCTTACTTAATCTTTATGGAAACCCCACAAAGTAGGAAGCACCATTCCCATTATCCATGACATTAGGAAACTGAGGCTTCAACTAGAGGGCTCAGTCGTCTCTGCTGACTCCCATGATGACACCTGGTGAAGCCAGATTTAGCACCCGCGTGTACATGATTTCAACATGAGACAACAGCGCTGTGGTGGAGACAGGCATAGACTTGGGGCCCACTTCTGCCACCTAAACACCATGGACCCCCTTTCCTCATTTATTAGACAGGGACAAGGACACAACCTGTCTCTTCACACTGTTCTGATATAAAACAATCACCATATAAGGTGTAGCACAGGGATGGAAAAGAAGTTAACAATGCCATGTCGTGATAGCACTCTAACTAGGCCTTCCCAAGAAGTGGTGCCAGGGACAGCCCCAGAATTCAGTTAGAAAAGAACCTGAGTCTCTGGCTCGTCTCTGCGGAGGGCGAGACCTGCAAAGCAAACCCAGCCATCGTCTTGCATACAAAGAAGCCCTCAGCTTCCTCCTCAGCACCCCCACCTCCAGTCACTCTGCTCAGATACGACATTCTAGCAAAGCAGGAGTGCCCAGGGGCAGCTGCCGGCCTCCTGCTGCAGTGCCCACGGCACAGCTCTCCGCATCCAGCCCTTCTCATGTGTCCTACTGTACAAGCTCACAACAAGCGAACCACTGGGCTACTTTAACACAGCCACAATCACAGAAAGATGTCAAAGGTCCTTTCAGGCAAAGGGTACTTTAAGCAGGAGAAAAGCTGACTGTTGAGTCAGGGAAAACAAAAACACTATTTTTTAGGAAATATATTCAGTAACTAGGAACCTACAGTCCCAAAGTTCCCATCTAACCCAAGCTCCTCTTCTTTGAATTTTATTTTTTATTTTTTCGACAGGCAGAGTGGACAGTGAGAGAGAAAGACAGAGAGAAAGGTCTTCCTTTGCCGTTGGTTCACCCTCCAATGGCTGCCGCGGCTGGCGCGCTGTGGCCAGCGCACTGCGCTGATCCGAAGGCAGGAGCCAGGTGCTTCTCCTGGTCTCCCATGGGGTGCAGGGCCCAAGCACTTGGGCCATCCTCCACTGCACTCCCGGGCCACAGCAGAGAGCTGGCCTGGAAGAGGGGCAACCAGGACAGAATCCGGTGCACCGACCAGGACTAGAACCCGGTGTGCCGGCGCCACAAGGCTTTTGGCTTTTCGTTTTTCCTTCCTTCCCTCCCTTCCTCCTTAAAATGATGTAGACTTGGGAGCATGGTGCCAATGAAAAACAGAGGGACTGTCTCACTCCCATCACTTCCTAGCTCGTGCCCTTTGTCAAGCTACTTGCTGTAGGTCTCGGCTTCCTTGTCTGTAACACGAGGTAACAATTTCTGCTTTGCAGATCATTTCGTGGAATATGTCCCCTGTTGGTATTGGCAGGCACTCAATAAACACTTGCATTTCCTCTTCTATTTCCTTCTTTTGAGTCGTTTTTA